GCTTGGGTGACCCAAGGGTCTGTCCAGCTCAGCAGGAAGCAGGCCTCCTCCTTCCAGTATGTTGTGAACCTGAGTCTCCCAAGTCTTAGCCTGCTGACCTCCCACCTCCACATAGGGACATTCTGCATTGAGGGTATCTCCCATTAATTCATCTGATCCTGCACAGTCTCTTCTGAAGTCAGGCTAAACCATGCATTCAGTTCTTCTCCACATCTTAAAAGAAAAATTAAATAGTACGGTAGTGAAGTGTGATCCTAACAACAGCAGGAGAAAAGGAATGTTTAAATCTCCCTTCCTTCGACCCCCCCCCCCATTTTAAATATGCAAACCCATCTACCTACAGGTGCCGTCAGCTTGGGAGGGGGAACCAATCCTTGTAGAATTACTTGTAGACCTGCAATAAAAAGGACAGATATGCTGCTATTTTACAAGTTATTCTGCTTTAGAATAAAGCCAAGGACTGCTTGGCTGCATACTGTATTTTCTATCCGGGGGCGGGGGGGGGAACACACTCAGAGAACCGAAGTCCAAACCAAAACAGACATTCCACTTCTGATAAAAAACACCAGATGTTTGAGATGTTATTGTGCTCTTTGTAGTGGGCATCAGAAACACTTTGGCATGGATACTACCAGCGTTGTCATTCCAGGCTGCTGGACGTGACCATGTGTGGAGGAGGTACCCATGGACAGGGGGCAACCATCTCTGCATTTGAGCTGTTTTTCAGAGACCAAAAAAAAGAGAAAGGAAAAGACAAAAGGGCTATAATCCCCTAACAGTGTCTGGAACCCCCTTTAGAGTTCTGTGCATGACTCAGGTAAATTGTGCAATAAAACGTCTCTCTGGAAGAGGCTTCAACATGCTGATTTCACGTTGTGTAATACGTATATGACAAGTGAAACATTTTAATGCTGTGAGGGTTTTTTAGGCTCCCTACTTTGTTCAAAGATATCAGGAGATTTTCATTGTTTTGGAACAGGAGAGATATTTATTGGGTATTCAACAAATAACCAGTGTCAACTAAATGATTCCAGCGTCTTTCTCCTTCGGACAACGGGGTCGGGAAGGGGCTTCCATTCTTCGTCCAGGAACGGGTTTCTCTCACCAGAGTTCCATGGACCCGGCCAGTCTGTCAAGAAGTTCAGGTTCACCGTCTGTCCTGCTTCACCTTCCAGCAGGGGCATGGCCTCGTCATCTTGTCCATCACCCCACACTCCAGGTGTGGGGGTCTTCAGGGTCCTCCCTGTATCCCTCCTCCATTCAAGACTCCTCTCTCTCTCTCTCCGCTCTCCTTCTCTTCTCTCAGTTTTCTCCTCCACACTCTGGCTTCTGTAGAAGTGGGATTTCCCTTCCTTTTCTATAATCGGCCTCTTCATCAGGCACTCTCAGTCTTTCCCACGCTCCAGTCCATGGATCCTCCATCCAGACCCACTCCCCACCTGGCAGTAACTGGTAGTTCCTCCTTTTTATATCTGCTATCCCCCCTCTATCTCCACCCTCTTCTTCCGTTCCATTCCCGCCGTTTTTCCCTCAGTCCCTTCAATGGTCAACTTTTGTATTCCTCCTTCTATCTCCTCTGTTTCAGTCCCTTGCTGGGGACTGGGCTTGCACTTCCTTCTCTGCTGTATGGAGGAGGGACGGCACTTCGGCAAGAGGGGTACCACTCTCGGCTCCCGTCTCACAAATGCATGCAGATTTCAAATCCCCTCCAAGTGCCTGATCCTCTCTACCCCCCCAGACAAAACCACCACCACCACCACATCATCATCTTCATTGGCTGAAAACAGCTTAGGTTATCTCCTTTTTTAAAAAGAAAAAAATCAATCTGATGCAGGGATTTAGGAAATTTTAACAGGGTGTATCCTTCCCATTGACAGCATTAAGAGCACAGTGGGCTGTTAATGCGCAGAGAGTTCACTGCTCTGCTCCAGGAAGCCAGATCTCTCTGGGCCCAGAGGTATGACTGGAAGCGCCTTTCACTGCACGTACAGGGTGGGATGAATCCAGCATCTTGGCCCAGGTGTGGCCTGAGGCTTTTATTGTGAAATTAAAACTTCCCAGTTGTCACTGGTGGTGGCATAAGTCTGTAATATAAACACACTTATTAAAATTTTGGTGGTGTATCTCTTCTGCTTGCAAAACAATTCAAGTTCACTCTTGCCCAGGCTTATTACAACCCAGACAAAAAGATTGTTTAGTTGGCTTAATAAAAATGGTTCTCCAGTATCTGTTTGTACTGGAAAGACTTCAGATGCCTGGCTTCGGCATCACATCTGCTGGCCCTGGGAATCTGGCTTTGGAGAGTATTTGTTCCTGCACAGAAGGAAGACTCCTATGTAATTGGCCAGGACACCTGTAGAGAAGGATTGCAGTCATTCCTGCATTGCATTATAGATGAGCTGTGCTTTAGCTCTGTAGGCATCCTTCAGTCTTGAGAGACTATGGTAACATGTTCTGAATAAAGGTTTTGGAACAGTGCCTAGTGTGGCTGAGAAAGCCAATTTGAGAGTGACAATCCCTTCCACACTGAAGACAATCTGTCCCCTGTCCAGCTCCCTGATTCTACTGGTTTTGGGACTGCCTCTTTGCCTCGGCCTGCTGGACAAGGGTCTCTTTAACATGAGAGAGGCCATGATGCACTGCCTGCCTCCAGGCTGAATGCTCAGATGTCACGATCTGTTGAGGTCCATTCCCCTAACCCTTAATCCAAAATCTCGGCAGGCCTTGCTAAAACGATTCATACGTTGGAGGTCTTTGGCAGAATGGGCAGCAACTGCATCATTGGCAAAGAGGAAGTCGTGCATGTATTTCAGTTGGACTTTGGTCCTCGCTCTCAATATAGAGAGATTAAAGAGCTTGCTATCTGATCTAGTCCATAGATAGACACCTTCTGTTGCAGTTCCAAAAGCGTGCTTCAGCATGACAGCAAAAAAATCCCAGAGTCAGAGCAAGGACACAGCCCTGTTTCACTCCACTTCGAATGTCAAAGGGATCTGATGTTGAGCCATTGAAAACTACAGTGCCCTTCATTCCCTCATGAAAGGACCTGATGATTTTAAGGAGTCGAGGTGGACATCCAATCTTGGGAAGTATTTTAAAAAGGCTGTCCCTGCTAACCAAATCAAAGGTCTTTGTGCTTTAGCACAACTGCAGTATCTTGGTAAGTTATTGTACCTCATCTTTAGAAAAGGATCAATCAATTTTTTTGGTTGTTGTGGGTTTTCCGGGCTGTTTGGCCATGTTCTTAAGGCTTTTCTTCCTAATGTTTCTCCAGTCTCTGTGGCCAGCATCTTCAGAGGATAGGAGTCAGAACTCTGTCTGTGCTCTGGTGTTCTGATTCCTGTCCTCTGAAGATGCCGGCCACAGAGACTGGCGAAATGTTAGGAAGAAAAACCTTAAGAACATGGCCAAACAGCCTGGAAAACCCACAACCACCATTGGATTCTGGCCATGAAAGCCTTCGAAAATCAATTTTTTTGTTTGGATTCTTCTTCTGCCTTGCGACCATAACATTTGTGACAGACATAACAGGGCCTGAAACCCTGTAGTAAGCCACAACAATGGGCCCATTGACTCCATGGAACTTACAGAGTTCATTTACCAAATCTCCACCCATGGGCCTACTCTAGTTGCGATCAATGTGTTTGTTTGCAATGGCGCAAAAGCAACAATAATGCAGTGACAAAATAGCGTATGCACAGCATTTTAAATTCCACATTGCCAAAGATCATGCATTTTAAAATATTTTTGGAAGCATGCCTGAATATAGGAAAAGCAGAATAGACTAATATGGTGGTTCTTGCAGTGCCAGGGAGAAAAGTGCTCAGGTAAAGAGCAATTCGATTGATTCTCTTTTTTCACACAACATAGATGCTCTTTAAGTTGTGCCATTCAATCTACCTCTTAAGAACATTTACTATGAACTTTAGGGAGCCCCTTTTAAGTGCAGCAGCATTAGAATGACTGCTAGCTTTACTACAGGAAAGCTTGGGTAATTATTCACTACTTCTAACTGCAGATTTTATTCCTTGATGGCAAGGAAAACAGGATAACCCCTGCTAGCGAGATGGTTTGAGATACGTACCCATGCCTGTGTGAGTAAAATCTATTTGCAAACAGCCACCCAACTAAGTTAAGCACCTCATCTCATAAATGTCTAGCTCACATTCTACAGGAAACCCTAAACTTACAAAGCAGATTTGTAGGATGTCAGGCATCTCAAAGGGGGTGGGGTGACCTTCATCTTCACCTAACCTTCTCCGATTTTTTGCAGTGCAAATGGCCAGGTGCTCTCTTGCTCACACAACCTTCTCTCCCTCTTCCGTTCGGCAAGGATTTCTAACAGGAAAAGTGTGCAAGTTGGTCGGACGGCAGCTCCCCTCAGCCCTGAATAAAGCCCAAGAATAAAAAAAAAAAAAGATGACTGGGACCGATAACTGTCCAACAGCATCTGGGGAGACACATATTCTCCACCCTTGGTTTGTGCAAACCCTTCTCCTTATCCAAGGCATGACACACACACATATTTTGCTTAAGAGTGAGCAAGTTCAGCTTTTTGAGGAGACCTCCATTGTATGCTATTAAAATACTGTATTGAATGAGAAACTAATTTAGACGCCATCCAATATTTTTTGAGGGGTAGAACCGTAGGACCATAGAATAATTGAGTTTGGAAGGGGCCTCTAAGGCCATCAAGTCCAACTCTCCTGCCCAAAGTAGGAATAGAAATCAAAGGAGATCTGCTGGGGGGGGGGGTTGCCTAAATTTATCTTGAGTGCCTCCAGTGTTGGAGCACTCACCACCTCTTGAAGGTCATGGGTTCCACTGTTGTACTCCTCTAACAGTTTGGAAGTTTTTTTTTCTGATATTCAATCGAATTTTGGCTTCCTGTAGCTTGAGCCCATTGTTGCTGTACTAATTAGCTCTTTTATGGTGGAGGTTGTGAAATCAGAACTTTACAATGTTGAGCCCAGTAATAATAAGACCAGAGACTGGAGGGATACACATAGGATAGAACCATTTATTACCACACCATCAAAAGTTCAAGAGATACGTGGGTTGCGCTAGAAGGTGAGGGAGTATAAACATTTATAATACCCTCAAAATATATATATATTGTGGTATAATTCTATCCTTTCTAGCATCTCTGTTCAGATAACCGGTATGTTATCTAACAGCCAGACAGGAATCTAACTTCTTATAACAGTAACCAAAATTCTGAAGGGGTAATCAACAGTTTGATGCAAAACAGAAGTATCTATGCTCTCAGCTTTGAAGAAAAAAAAGGGGCTGCTAATTTAGTGACAGAAGCATAAGCCTAGTTCAGCTGCTACTGTATATGCCCACATATGTATGCTGCACAAAGTAACTGCATTATGCATTTATCTCTCATTAAAAAAAGATACGCTGAACTTTGCATGTGCAGAATCATCCTTGTACACACACATACGCATGAAGTCAGAGTTGACCAATACATGTAAAATAGGCAGAGGTGGTACCTTTAAAGAAAAAGGTATGTGTGCATCACTAGGTAAGCAACACTCCATTTTCAGAGAAAGGAAGATTATTCTTCTCTATTTCCAGTGTGACAGGTTCAAAGTAATGCTGTGTTAACGAGCATAGGACAAAGACCAGTTTAAAGAAATGATTTAAAACTTCGGCAATTCTACATCCAAAAAGCCCTCTACACTGTATCTGTACATGGCAAGGATATTACACCCATCCCAGACTGACAGTCGAATGAAGAAATAACTCAAAACACATTCCCATGACCGTTACGTTCAAAAGGCACTTGAAATGTTGCACGAAAAAAGATCGGCATTTTCATTTTACAGTCTTGTTCTGGAAGATGTGGGAGTAGGCTGGTATACAAACAGAATAAATATGTGCCTTCAGCGCCGGCTTGAGTGTCCTACCTGAAAACCTGCAGAAATCTGATATGAAGCAAGCCAAAACTCTCATACTTTTAAGTCTGTGGAACCTCAACTCTGTTACACCTATTTCTGGATTTGTTCTTCAAGGTACAGCTCCTTTGATGCAGAGAAGCTTAGGCTGCATTTTTAATCGTGCCTGTCTGAATGGAACTCGTAGAAAAATAACAGGACTTTGGGAGCCTTACCTTGCCACTGATGCTTCTCAGCCAGAACTCTGTAGTCTAAAAAAGTTAATTACTGGAATACCATGCCTGTAAGCCCTGAGCCAAAAGGTAGTCCAAAAAAGTAACTTCTGTTTCTCAAGGGCTTCAGAGCAAGTAGTCTTGAGGACATGCTGCCATCTAGTGGATTCGCCGGCGCTTCCTCGAGTTGCAGGAGTGTGCCAAAAATTGCAAAATTCCAGGTGCAACAGCTTACGGGCACAGCAGAATGAAAGGAAAAAGAGAGTTGACTGTGGCAAACTCTCTTTTTCTTGGCTGCCGGGCACTGAGACCCTCCTGCCCGATGCTCAGGACAAAGAGAGCGCTCTTCTAAATAGCTTAGAAATGAGAAAACAAGAACGATAAAGTCACTGTTCTCCAAATGTATTCTTTTGGTTATCCAGTGGATTCTAGACAGAGAGCACTGACTACATATAATACAGAGGTAAGATGGTTGCTCATTCTTTTTCTTTCCACAGGAAGGAGAGAGAATGTATTCTTTTAGTCTTTCTAACCAGCCACAGGTGGAATTGGGGCTCTTCTTCAGCACAAGCAGCGAAAGAAAGACTGCAAGGGCTTAAGGGAAACAAACAAAGAAACATACAAACAAACAAAACCCTTCAGCTCCCCCATTACTGGCCACGTCTTAAGTCTGTAATCATACAATAAGAGCCGCCTTGTGATGCAGACGGGACACCCAAATGGCGACCACCGTCTCACTCACAGTCTTCTTGCAAATGGACACTCCGAGTGGTCCTGAGCATGTTCTGCAAAATACACGGGGGAGCAATCTCTGCATCTGTAAATCTCCTTGTGTATTTGTTCCCCCCTTCCTTATGAACAGAGTCAAACGTTTTCATTGCCACAGCTTCCCGGGTGTGTCTGGAACTCATAGAAGGAGTCAGAGTTCATCCTGAGGGTTAGAAAGGGTCAGGAGAAAAGAAAGAAGAGGAAGTGTAAAACCCTGACAAAACCCACTTTCCTATTACAGTAGGACCCCCTTATTGGTGGGATCAGTATCTGCTGATTAACTTACACACAGTCTGAAAATATTAAAATTAGTATTGATTTTATATGCCATTTTAAATACGATACTTTGTTTAATATTTGTACACTTACTGTTTTTAGCTTTTGTCTATTGCCCTTTTAATGATGTGAGCCGCCTTAGGCCTTTTCAAAGAGAAAGGCAGGGTAAAATATCTATTACAGTAGGACCCCCTTATTGGTGGGATCAGTATCTGCTGATTAACTTACACACAGTCTGAAAATATTAAAATTAGTATTGATTTTATATACCATTTTAAATACGATACTTGTTTAATTCCTTTTTAATATTTGTACACTTACTGTTTTTAGCTTTTGTCTATTGCCCTTTTAATGATGTGAGCCGCCTTAGGTCTTTTCAAGGAGAAAGGCAGGGTAAAATATTTTAAATAAATAAAACCCCCAAACATATATTTTTAATGGTGAAGTTATTAGAACTGGCCACGAGAGGGACTCAGACACCTATACTATGTATAGCATTCACTATTATAACAGTGTTCTGCATTTTTCAGCATCCGGGAGGGGGGCGGTCTACTATATCATTAAAAGACGACTTAGGTAGCACTGGATTTATCTGCCTCTCAGCAAAGAGACTCTGTGAGTCGGGGCAATGAATGAGCAAGAGCACCCATGTTCCCAGGGGCACAGCATCCTGCCCCATCACTTCTCAACCTTGTCACACTGAGCAGCAAGATCTGAACTCATATTCAGGGTTACCTTCGCTTGGAATGTCAGTGGATCGCTCGATATGCATTCAAGGACCACACTTTCTGGGTGCAACTGTCGAGGATGGGGAAGGCGCCTACAGGGACTCCCAGAGCAGAGCCAGGGTGGGGGTGATCCTGTGCCTTACTATGCCCCTGCTCACACACAAACTGGAATGGCACTCTCCCCGCTGGATGTGGCGGTGGAGCCTACTCAAGCTAGTCCCAAAGATGAGATCTGCAAGACTACCTTCCCGTGACCCTGTCCAGGAGCCCCAGCACCATGCAGGAGCCCAGTTCAGAGTAAGCCTCCTCAGCTGGACCGAGTCCTTCAGAGGGCAGGGAGGTGCTCTGTCTCCACCCATTCAAAAGGAAAGCATGGGATGCTACACAAATGGCCCATTTCCAAAAGGCTTCCAAAAGAAGGGAAACCGCTCGTGCTGATGGGCATCACAGCAAAACTGCCCACCTTGTTTCTGGAAGTTTTTTTCCTCTTGTTTTTAATGTCTTCAACTTTCGCCAACAGCAGTTCAGCTATGGTTTTTGCGTCGTGGCTGTCTATTTGCTCCCCAAAGGCATTTTTCTGCGGGGGAAAAAAACAGAGCAAGAGAGGGAATCATTGCAGCTCTAAGCTTGAATTAGGTCTTCGGGAAACCAATGCAACTGCCACAGGCAGGACGGAAAACATTCATTCAGGCAGAGGAAGAAACGACAACTCCCCATCTAATGGCAAAAGGGAAAACTGATCTCAGGGAAAAGTATCCTTGCTACATTTTTACAGTACAGTACTAATACAATTCCATTTGCAATTTCTTAAAGCTACATATCTAGTAGAGCTCCAGTAAATGGCTTTTATCTCCAAGGACCTTCTCAGATGCCGTAAGGAGCACTTTCTATGCAGACGAGCTAAACATGTGAATTGGACATGTAAGTCACGGATCGATGGGTTTCCTTTTGCAGAGTAAGAACACATTCAAATAAGATCATCCCAAGACAGTCCAAGGTTGCAACAGCAGCCAGTAGGTAGAGGGCAGCTGCTCCTATTTAGGGCACCCCCAGGACTAGGAGAAGAGCATTTGACAACCACCGAGGCATTTACGCACAAGCAGAGTCTTTAAAAATCACTTTTACAAAAATGCTGGAAAGGTTATCCAGTGGCACAGCTTTGCCTTTTTAAATTTTGAACGTTACCATGTGCAGTTTACAAAAACAGTCTAGGAGGATGACAATTCTGCGACTGCAATGAACACATCCATTAGGAAGTGGTGCGTCTACCGAGTTGGGCCTTTGCCCCATCTGCTCCCTCAGTACTGCCCATACAGGCCTCTCCCAGCCCTTCCCGGAAACATGACATCAGAGGGGTGGCCTCTGAGCTAGAGTCTCCGTCATGGTTCACAGGATGTTGGTGTGTGTTTTACCTTTGCTCCTTGATGAGGATAGAATTTAACCGTCGGGTACGCTCTGATGCCTGCCGACTGACAGGTATGAGGATAAGCCTGACAGTCCATCTTCCCAGCTTTCACTTTCCCTTTCACCGTCTTTAAGAGAGAGGGGAAATCAAAAGAGAGGGAAGCTGGTGTTAAAATGACGTTGCTCAAGAACAGTCCACGTTTGCTCCTCTGCTTAGAAGTAGGTTTGGCAGTAAGCCTGTTGGAAGGGGAATAAGCTGCCCAGCACTTCCACATCCGTTTAACCCCAAAGAGGCTTGAAGTAAACAACTAACGATTTGCTGCCCTTTCACAACCTCAGCGTAGGGTCAGTCCTGAAAAGGAGATGTCCAGGCCCTCCACAAAAATACCAGTTCTGGCACCCCAGAGAAAGATAAGAGCAAATCCTTGGGTCAGCGGAGCCATATGGCACACTGTCAACACCGGCGAGGAAATCCCACTTCGACTGGCTCTCCAATCCCGTCATAAACAGACCGGGCACATGTCCCAGCAATCAGAGCCCCCAGCTGCTCTAAAACTCACAAAAGCATCTGCCCCATGGCAGATTTTGACCTGGGTTCTTCTTCCCCTTGGGCTTTTAACTCTTCTACATGCTAAACTCTTCTACATCCCAAACATATCCACAACACAGTCTTATGGGTGCTGACTGGACACTGCTTTCTAATGGGAAGGCCGAACTCACTCACTGTGTAGCCTAAATCCGGAAGAGCTAAAGGCCTGATGCTCAAGTTGCTATGAAATGTTTCAGCCCATTGAGGGGATCCATGACACTGTTTTGCTTCTACACTCAACCCAACCAGTGTTGAGGAGGGGATCAGAGGAAGTACACAAGGGAAAATATGTTAGAAATCATTTCTCTGGTTAGTTTGGAGAATCTGATATAGCTGCTTAATTAACAAACTTGCTGGTCCTAGAGAAAGTTATTTATTTACCTTAGCTAGGATCTCAAATTCTGGAGCAAAGTTTTGACAAGGGCCACACCAAGGGGCATAGAAGTCAACAACCCAGTGATCTTTCCCATTCAGAACTTTGTCCGTGAAGCTTTGAGGTGTCAGATCCAGGGATACCTGAGGCAAATATCTTTTACAAAGAGAGAAAATGATAGGGTTTTAGTTACGTAAACAGCTTCCAAAAATGACTCAGTAAAAAAAACAACAAAAAGCCAAAACAAAACAAAAAACTGGACAGCTTCATGTATATTATGAAATCAAAACGATAAATTTCTTACTCTCCCAAACCGAATGAGTTGAGGACTATTTGTAATTCAATTTTAAATTTTGCCTGGCTTTTTTGCCCAGTATCAAGGGGGGAATGAGATGACATACTGAAACTTCAACACAGCCATTTTTTTCCTGGTTCCAGAAAATAATTCTTTTATTGCTTCTACAGTGAGGCATTCCTTCTAATTATTTTTACCAGCCAAACAGGACAAAACCCCCAAACTTTTATAACTACATTTAAATTCTAACATATGAGATCTTTTAAAAACTTTTTTAAAAAATATATGCATACCGACACAAGACATTTATGTCTATCAAGAGTGTGACTAAACAGACTTTCTCATATGTGTAGATGTATTATATGGTTTTCTAGTGTTGTTTGTAAACAGATCCAACTGATGCCACTGATCTCATTAAAAAAAAACCCAAACATATCCACAACGGCCTATTTTACTACATTGTGATCAATCTGATGCAATAACTCACCCTAGAGCCCATCTTCTCAGTGAGTGGGCATCTCGGTGCCAGCCAGTGTAGCTACTATTAGAAGAAATAAAAGCACATATTAACATTATGCTGAAAGAAGCATCCTTTGAAATGAGACGCACAAAGATTCTTTTTCTCCAGAAAAGATATGATTGTTAGCTAGCTACTGGATTCTTGTCCTAGTGAAAGCTGATAGGTCTTTATAGAAAAAAATATGCCTGTTGGCCTTCAGTTTTGACCTGGGATCTTCTGCCTATTTTCCTCCACAGGAGTAATACTGAGTAGGAAGCACACTGGCTGAAATCCTGCTGCTTAGTGTAGTAAGTAGCCACTAACCCGTATGCCCACACTGAATCAATGAAGAAGGAATCGGCGAATCAACTGCTCCATGGGCCTTACTACACTACGCAACAGGATTTCAGTCACAGTGTCCTACAGGTGGGAGGGGATCTAGACTATGGCACACAGAAGTCCTCTGATGTGATATTAACAAATGCTTAGTCCTCTCTGATTGTCAGATCCACCATGATGAAGGTACCTGATAATCTCTGTGTGCACTCAGCATTCCTCGGTGGCTACCTCCTCTAACAGACCAACCTCATTGTCACTGCACATTCCACTAAGGCCAACAAGCAGCAGTAAGGCGTGGTTTTCACTAGGACAGGCTGGACTTGCAGAAAAATAAACAAGCACTCCTATAATTTTAAATCACTTCCATGTTTGTATTTTCTGTGCATTCCCACTGCTGATCGTAAACAGATTCACAATGTTAATAATGAGAATTGTGAATTTATGCTGGTGTAAGTGTAACTGCATAAGTGTTATCGGCAAATTGCTGCTAAGTAATGACTGGCAAGTAACGAGGAATGCAAGTGGCAACTATTTAATGACCAGCATTTCACCGCTGCAATTTGGACAAACTAAACTTCCACTGGTATAAAATCCACGATATAGTTCTGGCTATTAGTTTCTAAAATACCCTGTTTCCCCGAAACCTGAAAATAGGCCATAGTACAAATTTTCAGGATGTTCGTAATATAAGCCCTACCTCAAAAATAAGCCCCAGTTACGTTAATCCCCACCCTCCACCATTGTGCCGCAACTAGAAGAAGATGACATGACTGTATTTGAATAAATGGAGATTGTTGTACATGAAAAAATAAAACATCCCCTGAAAATAAGCCCAAATGCATTTTTTGGAATAAAAAATTAATAGAAGACCCTGTCTTATTTTCGGGGAAACAAGGTACCAATAATGGAAACAAGTAGGGAAATAGGTGTATTTTACACTAAGAATTTGAATCCAGTGTACAGAACAGGAATTAGCATATATCTTCAAGCAGCCATGCATAAATGGCTAGACACCACCTCTTTCTGAAATATTAAGTAAATTGCTTACTTACTTCACCAGAATGGGAATTTTTAATTTAGTTTTTTTTTCCGGCAAGCTAAGGAGGCAATCTAGGTGGTCAAATTACTTACTAGTATTGATAAGATGACACAGATTTCTGTGGGAAGAGTCTTATTTCAGGGTACCCTTGAACCTTTTCTTGGTGACAAAGAGAGAAATACTTTTGACAATCTATGCTGCCAACTGTAATCAGTCCATTTAGCATCTGAAACAGAAGAATAATTTATCCAACTTAGGACAGAGGTGCAAAAACAACTGACATTAAAAATAATAATAAACCTTTGGATTTCAAAGAAAAACACTATCAGATCCACCTTCTAAAATAGTCTGCTATTCTAGCACAAGAGAAAGTGTTTGCTTAGATTTGAATATCTTGAGTATAAAGAACACACTTAAAATCCAGGGAAGGGAGAGGCTCTGCACACATACGGAAGGCCTAGGCATACACGCATGCACAAACCCTCTCTGCTTTCTCCACAAGAATACAAAGAAGTCTTACTAACATACGTGAACTCCAATGCTACAAATGCTTTTCCTTCATAGCCTTAAAGACACCTGGCTACATGGGAAAGCGAAAAAAAATTTATTTGTCTTATTTACAGGCCGCTTTTCTCCCAATGAGGGGAGCTCACAGCATTAAAAAGAGCAAAATTAAAAACATAGTAAGTTGTACATCAACAAACACTTAAAACTAGAAAACTGATTGGAATACAACTACTGTAAATAATTAAAAACAGGTAAATGCTATCGTCATTTAAAAATACCATTCATTTTAAATTTTATGCTCGCATGATGCAACCAGCATAAATTCCATAAACTGTATTCTGATGTCACAACACAGTTGGCATAACTGAGTAGCACAAGGGCCTACATAAGTTCTTCATGTGCAGCAAAATCTGCTGCAGAGGTTTATGCCAGCTGCCTTACATGGGTGGGTGTAGCGGAGAGGATTTTCTCCCACACCCTATGCAGATATAACTGGCTCGTCTGTCTGTCTCTCTTTGTGTGCCTTGTGTATATCTATCCCACTTGTTTGTGTCCATGTTTCTATGTGTAAACAAAATAGTTAAAATCTTGTGAAGACAATGATCAAGGGCCACTCGTTTTTAAATGAAACCTTCAGGAGACGTTAGCTCCTAGTGCATGCTCATTTGCTTAAGCAGATCTTAGGTCATCTCCTTTTTTTCAAACTGATCTTTAAACATGAAGGGAAAGCAACAGGGAGGTTTCTTGAAGTTGCTCCTGGCAACTTCATGGCATCATACGATAAAAGAAATAGTTGGCATTTGACTCTACACAAGGCTAAGTTTTTTAAAAGAAGTTTTTAAAAAATGCCCTTAAAAATAAGTTCTTTATTTCCACCCCTGACACAATCTATAATCCACTGGGGAAGGGAACTTTTGGTGCTAGCCTGTACATCATGAATGGATGATTACTCAGAAACTGAAATACAGCCTAATCATGAGAACATGCTACAAATGACTTGATTCTGCATTTTATGTGAACCGCTCAGAGTAGTGCTGTGGTAACGAAAGGATATACTTTGCATGCACACCCCCTGCACACATTTCATATAAACAGGGGCATTCAAAAATACTTAATTTGTTTTTTACCCTGGCCATTCGCTTCCATTCTGGCATTAAAGCTTGGCAAGGACCACACCATGGAGCATAGAAGTCAACCATCCAGATGTCGTTACTCTTTCTTTTCTTCACTAATTCACTGAAGGTCTCAGGGGTCAAAGAAACTACTGATGGGTTCATGAGATCCTGAAACACAGAACGGAGAGGATTCTACTTGCTTTCAGATGTGTAAGTCAGTTTGCCAACACAGAAAGTGATAGATCATAGTGTGCAGGGGGTTGAGCCAAAACTATCTGTGATTTGCTCATGGCACTTTATAAAGGAAGTCAGATTTTTTTTAAAAGTAAGCCCTATGAAACCACAGCAGACACCAACATTTAGGAAATAGTAGGCATGACAATTCTGAATAAAATGGCTTTAACTATTTGAGCCAGCCTGGGAAACTCTTGTCCTAACAGGTTGGAGTGCAATTAGAAACGGCTACTTCAGAAATTATTCTGGAATGGGAAGAGAAATACGACCCCCTTTTTCTGTAAGAAGATGCCATAATATATGTGGCAAATAGAAGAAAATGGTTAGAAAAACAGTTATTTCTAATAAGGAAAAGCAAAATATAGCTTTATGGTGTTCTAACATACATGTTTATTGAAGTAGAATGATTTGTTTTCTCCAGTTAACAAAATAAGTAATGGACAGAATCCTACTGTTGATTTTTGCTGCCGTGAGAAAAATTATATAGGCCTTTGTGACAAATTGCTGCTGCTGCCGAATTGAGGCGCTAGCTGTGTTTCTGGACATTTGTCGAACCAGGCACATGGCCAGAAGCACAACCAGAGAACAAAGTTGTTAAGGGGTGCCAATTTGCCCCAAGACTTACAAATGTTGCTTTACACAAGCACAGCTCACCAACGGGATTCTGTTCTACACATCACATTATTATTGTTTTCAACGGAATAAAATATATTTACAAAGAAAGACCAGGAAGCAGAGAAGCATACTTGTCCAGAACACCCTGCATTTGCTGCCAAGACAATTTCCTAAAAGGTATTTATGATGGCAACTCAAGTTGCCATCACTTGTTTAAAGAATAGCGAACAGGATGGCAGCATGTGCAGCTTTTTAATGAGACGTCATTCTAAGCTTGCCCTTCAACACCACCCCACAGTGGAGCTACAGGGAGCTAGCAAAGTTGGACCATCTGGTACAAGTACCTCAATAAACTCCAAGATCTGCTCGGCAGAATGATGTCCTTCGTACTCGTGAACGTTGGACTGGTTGAACACCACAGTTGTTGGGTAAGCGCGGATGTTGTGCTATGGGATATCAAAAGGGAAGATAGCTTCAGAAACTGCAAGCGCACACCTTTCAGGCCGTAATAGGATGTCTTCCATTTCACCCGGGATATGGGCAGATGATGAAAGAAAACCTCTCTCGTGTCAATAGCTGAGCTATAGCGGAGACCGAACGAACACTTTTAGGACAACTCTGAGCAGAGTGCTAGTAAACAGAGAAACTGTGCGATCCTATGCACATCGGCACCTCTAAAGTAAGTCCCACTGAAATCAGCAGTAGAATCCTCTTGTGGATTGATATGGGCATAAGCCAAAATATGTCACTTAATGTGGCAAATGGATGCTAAATAATGAAGCCCCACTTGCATTACCAGGTGCACAACTGTTGCACAACTGGGTGTGCACCTTGAAATGCAACCAGCAGTTCATTAGTTAGCAGCCATTTGCCACAATGCATCTTGAAATGCAACCAGTTCATTAGTTAGCAGCCATTTGCCACAATGAATTATGCACTCTAATTTAGGCTTCTTAGGATTTAAAGGCAAGCACCGTAAGATTGTGGTATGAAGTTGTGCAGAATCCTTTTCTGTATATTGTCTTTTAAGTGTTTTTAATGTTTTTAAGTTTTAATGTTATATGCCACCCAGAAGCTACTGGTAATGGTGCGGCTAAAAAAATATTGTAAACAAACAAACACAGAGCTAAGAATTTTAATCCTTGAAAAGATGCTTGCGCTATTTGCTGAATCAGAACCATACTTTAAGAATGCATTAGACAAATCCCATTCCAACCTTACATTGAGAAGCCAACTTAAACCAGAATGTTTAATTAATGATCTGAGCATATATTAGAATAAATTTTAAAAAAAATTCTATTCTAGTACGATCAGAAGCAGTGAAGAACAATTGAAACTGAAGCTAATTTTTCCTAAATATTTAAAGGGGAATGCAAATATGTTTAGTTTTTATCATTTTGATTGCAAAACAAGGCTGAAATAGCATTTCTCAAGGAATATTAAACTGGAAGAGTCATAAAACATAGGCAGAAAAAAGAGTTGTACTTGCAGTTTACCATGTTGCAAATCCCTTCATGAACTGTACAATCTAATGTACCAAACTTAAGTTGCCCATACAGTTGTTTCGATGCTTTCCTCAGTTCTGGCAATAAAGCTCGGCAGGGAGGGCACCACTGACAAAGGAGAGAGAGAGAGAGAGAAAGAACCCTAAACATTTCACCAACAGGGAGGGCCCATCATTTTTGGCTGGACTGAACAGAAAACCAAGCCCTCTCATGGCCACCATGCCCCTCCCTGGCTCAGCTCCTCCCAAGGTTTCCCTTCTTCCCTGGCTCCCGACATAAAAGGGGCAGGAGCATCGCCCTCCACTTCCCGGAGCAGGCTGTTTCTTCTCCAAAGTGCCTCTCAAGCCCAGAAGCTGCAGCTCCTGAAGCTCTATTCTCTCCCCTACCATCAGCAAATGGAAGGAGTGAAAGGAGGAGGCATGCAGGGAGGCAGCAAGGAAAAAGAAAGGGAGGAAGATATGAAGTGGGGATCATCACCAACCAAACAGTTCTTGCCCTTAAGAGATTTTTCTTTCAGGAAGCAAAAGAAGATGGGGCAGCGAGTGTCTTAAGAGAGGAAGAGGGTGGGCTTATTCTTCAGGACCCACACTTTCTCTCCCCCCCCCGACAGCACAACATCCTCCAACGGATGATCCCAAAGGAAAGAGGCTCTTGGCAGAAAAACAGACATCCCCTCCTCTGAATGAAGGAAGTTCCCATCACACTGCTTTCGTTCGCAATGCAATTAGCTTCACGGGTGATGACATTAAAATATGTTACACAGAGCAATGTAGAACAAACTAAAATATTTCAAGAAGTTTTTTAAAAAGCCCACGATGGTATGTTTCATTATCTCATCTCTACGGCATCTACTTAATTATATTGGCCAGAATCCTTATGGTTATTTCCAAACGTATAGGAAAAATAGTGGAATCTGCAGTGGTTCTTTTGATAAGGAGTTGGTTGGCTGCCTGTGTGGCGCACTGGGCTATGCACAGGGCTTACACTTCGTATCCACCCAGTACATTGTGAATAAGCTGCAAATAGCTTTGGTAACATTTGGCCATCTGATGAGAAGAGAAGACTCCCTGGAAAAGACCCTGATGTTGGGAAAGTGTGAGGGTAAGAGGAGAAGAGGACGACAGAGGACGAGATGGTTGGACAGTGTCATCGAAGCGACCAACATGAATTTGACCCAACTCTGGGAGGCAGTGGAAGACAGGGGGGTCTGGCGTGCTCTGACACGACCAGCAAAATTCAGACTGTGAATGGGCATGAGATTCAAAAAAGTCTACATCAAGAAGATGTGCAGGGATCATCATGCGCCAAAGAGATGAGATGTATTTATTCAAGGACTGAAATGATGCAAATACAAATAATGCAGACCTTTGAAAAGGAAGTGCCATTAAAATGTTTGGGGTGCTTTGGATTTTATATGGCTTGGAATATAAAGCAACTAATCGGGATTTAATGCGTTTCTATGGGCTTTTTAACTTCGCATTACGACGTTTTCGTTCTACAGCGATTTAGCTGGAACAAATTAATGTCGTAATGCGAGGCACCACTCTCTGTGTGTGTGTGTGTGTGTAGATATAGATACAGATATATAGATATCTATATATATATCTATATAGATAGATAGATAGATAGAGAGAGAGAGAGAGAGAGAGAGAAAGAGAGCATGCATAGAGATGTAGTGTTGTGATAGTTACAGGTGCAAAGAAGTCAACAAGCCACGGCTCCTTCTCTTTGCCAGGAAAATTCTGAGGCCCAAGGGTGATGACATGGGAATTCACACTCTCCTTGGCAAAAGCGACTATGTCATACAGAATCTTCTTTCCTTCAAAAGGGAAACAAATAGGTACATGAAATAAAAGCAAAGCAAAGTGTGCTGCTAATATAGTGCCCCAGTGCCTAAAGCTCTCTCTGAGCAGTTTACAGTTCACACACTGCCCCCCCACCCTTCAGCAAGCCAGCCAGCTACTCAATTTACCAACCTCGGAAGGATGGAAAGCTGAGTCACCCTCAAGCCAGTTACCTGAGCCCAGCATCAAACTCAGGTCATGAGCAGAGTATTCACTGCAGTGCTGCAGTTTTAACCACTGCGCCATAAGGCTCCCAGAGACCTGCCTATGACTTGACATTAGAAAAGGATGGAAAGGCAGAGTGCGCAACAGCAGTCAGAGAGGACACAAATACATCAAGGATGACTTGGCAAGATCCTTTTGCCTTCAAAAACAAAATGCATCTTAGTGCAGCCTTTCATAAGAGAACTAGTCATGAGTTTCACAAGACATTGATTGGGTTTCACCTACAGGAATGAATTTTAGGGAAAGAGAGGGCAAATGCCAAAAGAATGAGGCAAAGCTTATAAAAACTGATCAGAGCTGGGAAAGCAAACCTTATCAGAAATGAAGATGAACCTTCGGAAGACCCATTAGTTGCAGTCAAGTATGTTTTCAGTGACAGGAGTTGCAAGCGGGGGGGAGGGGCCAAAAATGTACATAAACTCCAATAACCTTAACAACCCGAGCCCATTCTCCCCTCTCACCTATCGCCCTGGGAGCCTGCTCCCACAAGCTACCCACAAGCTAATTTTGAAGGGTTTTCAGGGCAGGTTGTGGATGGCCAAAAAAAAGGGGGGGGAAGACTGCCCTGGGAGGCCACAGCATTGAATGGAAGAACAGTCACAGTTGAAACCCCATCGTTCCCCCCTCAACCTCCCCACAAAATGTTACTTCTTGAAATGCTTTCCCAGTAGCATGTGGTTAAACAGCGGGAAGTCTGGCAAAACTGGGGGAAGCAGGTGCCAATACTGAGTGGGGGAAAAATGTCTGTCAAGGAAAAGACTGGGGATTCTCACTCCTTTGCTTATGACTGTGAATCCAAAGGTGGCTTGTCTCCCCCCCTTTTTTCCCCTCACAGGTAAATATTATAATTTACACACCCCGACTCCCTAAGGGAAGGCGCATTCAAAGGCATAACAATACTACAAAAAAGGGTAACTCTTCCAATGCTAAAGTGATTTACCATGATGGATTTCGTAGTCTTCCAATCCCCTCCCTTTAAAGACTGCTACGCTTGGTTCATAAACATACAGATCGCTACAGATCTGGGGCGCAGTAAGGCAATCAAATCTGCCCACCTGTGAAACAAACATCCATTGGTTCTTTACAATCTTAGCAGAACAATCCATAAAATATCACAAACATATATTTTAATCCGAGTAATGTATTTATAGGGTTCCTATTCGCTTTTCCAGTTAGCCTGATGTTACTTCGAAAGCCACATGCTGGTGCAAATACAGCACAGGCTTTAGACGGACACACGTGGGCTCCCCCGAAATAACAGACTATGCATATTTGCATAACAGAGAATATAAAAAAACCCCTGCAGAACATTAACATTCATGGGGGAGAAAGGCGGCGTTCCTCAGTTTTAGGATACAGCCTCCGGAGTCACATGCAGAGGAAGCAACTTTTTACATTTTATGTTTGAGTTTAATGCTTTTAAATTAATGCAATATTGGGCAGTATACAAGCTGAACGAAAGAATGAATCAAACAGTCATTCTGCCTCTAGGTGTAAAGGGAAGCAAATCACCCTCCTAAAGATGACAATGGAACAGCTCAGTGCATGCACATGTTCCAAAATTGAAAGTGGAAAGTTGTGACTTGTTAGAAATTGGTTTACATGGGATCAGATGATCTGCTTATTGAACTCAGCACTGTCAGCCATCGCGGACTGTGCTCTTGGATTTCAGGCAGGATCCGCCCTTAGCCCCACATGGAGATGTTGAGGAATTAAACCCAGGATCTTTGTGCACACAAAACACATGCTCTACTGTATGGGCTCAGGGCGGCTTCTCTGCTTGCTGCTGGGCAGAAGTACAGAAGTGGGAGTGTGTGCTCCCAACAAGCTCTCCTCGGGAAAAGAAAGAGGAATTCGTGTGTGAGTACACAGGCTATGCCAGGAGCAAAGGGGTAAGCAAGAGGCAGGAAAGAGATGAGCCTTTCAAAAACTCACGTTAGAAAAAGATATTCCTTGAACGTTTTCTGAGTGAGCGCAAGTAACTCAGCCTTCTAGCTAGGCAAGGTCGCCTCCTCCCAAGTCTGCCCAGTGCCATCCATTTGAATTGCTGTAATTAAGCCCTTTTTCGGCACTGGCAGTCTACTTTAAGCAAGCAAAAGGAGGAGGACATCTGCTAGCCCTCATCTCCTCCATTATCCTACGGGCTGCTCTCCTCACGTGGGAACAGAGAGCCAGAAGAGGACACCCCTTGTTGCCTCTTCCCATGGTTCCTTTCCACACTCACAGAATGACGATGGAGGCAGCAGCTTCTCAGGTATTCACTTAAACACAGTTCGTACCTGAGTATGTTCAGCCTTGAGGAGAAACCGTAGCTTTTTGAGGTCGTGGGCCTCTGACTTGCTAGTCTGGCCAAACTGAAAGAATATCAGCCACCGATGATGAGCCAGGCGATCCTTACAAAGCAAGGAAGACAAATCTGAGTTTGTTTTTATTGCTCAGTTTATTCTTATTATTGCCATCTTGCGATAATTTCCCAACACAGACAAAACTGTTCCTGTTGCCCAGGGCCGAAGCTCATCATTAACGTCAGTAAAATTTCTTCCTGGCTGGGGAAAAATCTTGGTTTGGTGACACTGACAGTCAAGATCCTATCCCCTTCAACAGGAATATCTTCCAGGCAACACTGGTGCGTGCACATTTGTTTTCAACTCACACTTGCATTATACAATATTAGACAGTCTAAATAAACTGCTTAAAGGTAGGAAGCTCATATCACATGTTATATAGCTTTATAACATTTGTGGGCTAAAGGCATTTTTTGCAGTGGCTGACATCCACAACAGCAGCATGAAAGCATGGATGCACAAACCTTAAAGTGCATCCGAAAGGAAGTATATAAAAGAAGAAGCTTGGAAGCTAGATGTGAAAACTTTGGCTCTAATTGGTGGGCCAGGAATTCCCAGTACCGATCTTGCATTTAGATCAATCTACAGAATGTCATGCATGTTCATCAGACTTTCCTATATGGAGGCCTAATGTTGAACAACAGAAATAAAGTACTGTATAACATTGATATGAAAGCAAGACAGGTACAGGGAATTCCTGATGTACCAATAAGATATAGCTCACAGGGGTTTCACATTTAGCTTGCAAGCTGCTTCAGATCAGTGCAGAGAGATGAGAAGGCATGGAAGGTGTGTGGGGAGCAGTTTCTCTGGACTGATCTCTACTTTGCATGCCATAAAGCTGTGGCATTGGGGCTTACTTCTGAGTAGACACACATAGAACTCAGTTACAGTTCACACTCTGGGTAAGAAAACATCCACATTTTCATGGAGCGTCCCTTTGCTCTGGCTCCACTCACAGTGGCTTGAAATGTTTTTCCCAAACTGGAATCTGGTTTTGGGGGCTCAAAAACCTTCTAAAAGATATTGTACAAATTAAACTCCCTGGCATTTTTCACTGGAAAGATGAAAGTCCTCTTTACCTTTACTGTAGACGCAGACATCATTTCGAAGTCTGGAAGATGCTGCATTACTTCCTGATAGATCTCCCTCGCATCTAAGGTGTTCAGGAACTGGAGGGAGAGGGAAAGAGAGAGGGAGGGAGGAAGAGAGAGAGAGACTGAGAAAGAATCAGAATTCTGGTTTTATCCCATTCTTTCATGCATTTGTTTACACAAGCTTAAAATACACATGTGCATACACTCGATATGAATGGGTACTAAAGCACTTCGGAAGGGAACTGCTGTACTACCTTGAACAGCTTTGGGGGATGCAGGAGAAAAAGGAATATATGAAAAAGGAAACGGATCATTTTCTTTTCAGTGTGCCTTGCTCAGATAGTCTATTTCTGTCCCTTTCCCATCTCTCAAGGCACTTCAGATGGCGGCCAAAATGGCCCTGACTATGGATGAAGTGTACAAATGAAAGACGTTCTGTCGTTTATGCGCCCCTCCTCTTCAACCGTGCTCTCTTGTACAAGAACAATGTTCGTATAAAACAAGTTTTTTGGCACAAGTTTAACTTAGCCCATTTGAAGAGGAAGACAGTGACAGCACCAAGTTTTAGCCAGAGCTACATATGATACATTGCTTTGTTTTGCCCAGTATTATTAGCAGTCACTCATTTTCTATTAATTAAATTTTATCTACTGGATATCTATTTTCTTTGAGTACTATACGATAGAGGGTGAGTAATAAAAAGCATGAAGGAAGAAAAGAAAGAACGGACCTGGGTGGCTAACTGTGGAAAAGCTAAGCCTGTTTCAGAATGTTTAAAAATTATAGAGGAAATATGGATACAGTGGTGCCTCGCTTAACGATTACCTCATTAAACGACGAATCCGCTTGACGATGAGGTTTTTGCAATCGCTTTTGCGATCGCAAAACGATGTTTTAATGGGCAAAATTCGCTTCCTGATGATCGGTTCCCTGCTTCGGGAACTGATTATTCGCATTACGGCGATCAAAACAGCTGATCGTCGGGTTTCAAAATGGTCGCCCACTGTGTAAAATGGCTGCCCGCTGTGCTTTAGGAGGGATTTTTCGTTGCACAGGCATTGGAAAATGGCCGCTCTATGGAGGATCTTCGCTGGACGCTGAGGTATTTAGCCCATTGGAACGCAATGAGCGGTTTTCAATGGGCTTTTTTATTTCACCTGACAAGGATTTCCCTCTACAGCGATTTCGCTGGAATGGACTGTCCTTGTCAAGTGAGGCACCACTGTACTTGCTCTCCTGTAGAGACTACACACAAGAAGGAAGCTCTCCCCCACCCCCCCTTTCAGGCTCACTGGTGCTCCAGCGAGCAAGGTAACAGGCAGGCAGTGATAGCTTTTCCTTCTGATCCATGTTCAAGAATCTGGGTTGCAGAATGATCAACCAGGGCTATAGAAAATGTATCTTGATAGAGACGAAGCATGGACATTTTCTAATGTGCACAATTTAATCTCCTTTGAGTGTTGGCAGTATGCAAGGAGATAAAACAAACCAACCGAGCAGAATCCAAATCTACAGAGACAAGCATATCTAAAAGTGCTTCTCCCTTTCACCTCCACCACCACCGTGTATGTATATGCAAACCAACAGTAAAGCAACTCATACCAAGACACCTCCTTTGTCGTTATTAGTTAAAGTGGCTCCAGGTGGAAAGTATGCTGTAGTGCTAGATGAGATATCCAAATTATCACAAAGCTCACCCTGGGTGGAACAGTCCATCCAGCCTACATTAACAAGGCCTTCCTGTACAAAACAACAAAGAAGAACAGCAAATGAAATCGTGAAACCAAATGGAAGCAGGTCATATTTTGCAAAATATATCTATGTCCCACAGATCTTACATGCTCATGTGGCTTGAGATCACCATCAACACACAAACATATTCTCATATTCAAAATTATGTTTTAAGTTTTAAGGTAATTCTGATCTGGGAAGAATTTAAACATAACAAGTGTGTTCCAGAGTTAAGTCTGTTTTTATTTCAAGCAAAGAGTTTAGCATGCATTTAGCAGGTCTGCCCTTCTGAAGTTAGTGGGCATTTAAGGCACTGAACATTAGTCAAATCATGTCTGTTGTTTTAAATATTGTTTAAGACATATATTGCTTACCAACATGCCAGCCAATTTAAGACGCGTTTGAGAAGTCAAACAATCTATATAAAAAAATTACAATGATAAATTACTGGGGGAAAAGTCAGGCAATCATCATGATAGAAATAAATACTTTTGGTATAGGCAGTGAAGGTATGTTCACAATGCAAGCAACAGCATACAGAGGTCAACAATACATTTGTATCTGTATCTCTCTTTCTCTTTCTCTCTCTCTCAAAATGGGGAACATGACATGTCCCCCATAGGAGACCAAGGAAAAGAGTTTCATTTGTATTCTATCAAATGGGGGAAGGGCAGCATGGGGGAATGAAACATTTGCACCGGGTCTGAATATGGTACAGAGATATGCTTCTGACTTCTACAGATTAAGCCCCACCCCAAGATGAGAAGACAGCCTCCTCTTCCATCCCGTGTACAACAGCCAACAAGACTTGCAATGGAAATCTTGGGGTGCGAGAAGATAGTGATACAGCTCGTGTTTGGGAAGTTCACAGCACAGTCTGGTTCGAACTCTTTTCCGGCGACTGCACAACAGATGGGCCATCGTGAAACAGGCCAGCCCCGCTCCATGCCCAGTCTGGACCTTTTTTGTCCAATGGCACGACTTCTCTCTCTCTATTTATTATTATTATTTTGGAGCTGGGCTGGAGCAACCACGGCCAGGCTGCCTGTGCCGTCCGACAGACAGCACCTTTACTTCAATGCTTGCAATTCCAACACATTGGAGGGCTGGTTTAGGGAGGGCAGGATTTACCGTCTGGTGTGGACAATTCTGTCCACCAGTACCTTGTTGCCACTCTGCCACCTGGAGCATCCTCCTCACTCTTCACAATGGGAGGGCTAGCTCTGCAGAAAAGGGGAGCAGGATGGAGCCATTTGCATTGGCCTCCAGGAAAGAAACAGCATTTACTAGCCTATCGTGGATGTCTTTTCATTCTATCAGTGGAAAATACCATAGCAAGCTGGTGGTGCTGGAGGAGGCTCTTGAGAGTCTTCTGGACAGCAAAGAGATCAAACCTATCCATTCCGAAGGAAATCAACCCTGAGTGCTCACTGGAAGGACAGATCCTGAAGCTGAGGCTCCAATACTTTGGCCATCTCATGAGAAGAGAAGACTCCTTGGAAAAGACCTTGATGTTGGGAAAGTGGGAAGGCAAGAGGAGAAGGGGATGACAGAGGATGAGATGGTTGGACGGTGTCACCAAAGCTACCAATATGAATTTGACCAAACTCCGGGATGCAGTGGAAGACAGGAGAGCCTGGCATGCTCTAGTCCATGGGGTCACAAAGAGTCGCACACGATTTAACAACTAAACAACAAAATTAGTAATTTGAGAGATTTGAGAGCACCGCTTAACAGCAAACAAAAACCACCCCAATGGAAATGTGTGCACATGTGAAAGAGAATGCTCATGGTCTCCTGGCATCAAGTAACCCTTTATGGCTTTCGGAGCAATACTTTAAGCTCTCATCTTTCAGGGAATTCTACCAGAATTTCAATAATATATTCCTGCCTATCTACTACAGTTAATTGCTTTGCTCTGTTCTGACACTTGGATATCAGAGGAATTAAATTATTCCTTAAATGTTAATTGATTTAAAAACAACAACAACAACCCACACATATGTACCTCCATGTGCAGCACAGAAGGTAATTAACCAGCCAGTACCAGAAGCAAATGCAGTCTCAATAGAATTAACAAAATTTCCTGAAAAACAGAAGACAAAAGCAGTGATTTAAGAAGCTACACTTACTGCGTTCATTTATTCAGAAACATTGCTTAGCAAAAAGTATACATGCTTCACAGCTCTAAAAGCAGTTTTCTCTTTTCTGTTTTTATTAAGACACAGGAAAGAAATATTTCAGTTAGATGATACATAATCCACTACTTGAATGCAAAGTCTTCAATATCCACACATTTAAAAATAATGTCGCAGTTAATAATTTCCGTTTACCTGTCCATAATTCTGTCACCGTGCTTGTGACATATTGCATGGCAAAATTCACTAAACTCTCCTTTGACCGGTCACCAAAATATTTTACTGGATTCTGAAAGAGAAGAGATCTTATTTTATAATCTCAACCCTATGTTTGCGGTTTCAACAACAGATGTACTAGATCAACAAACATCGGCTACCCTGGCTGGGGGCTGAAGCCCAAATCATCAGGAGGGTCAGGATTGAGTGCAACTATTCTACGTCATAGTGGTTCTCAGGGTTGCCTCCTGGGACTGTATGTGGTCTCCTAGATGGCGAATTATTGGCCTGCCAGTGAGGTGACCCCTTGTCCTCAAGCCTCTGAAATATGTGGAGCCATCTCTCCTGTGAAACCTAGCTGAGTGCTACGTGCTGGGCCTCCTCTGACTCCGCCTCCCCCAGGGACTGTGTGGATTCAGAAGAGCCTTTAGCCTCTGCCTACTTACCATTCCAGATTTATACATGTACAGGCTTGGGTAGCTATTAATTCCTTTCATTCGGCACAGCATTCTGTTATCGCCACAGTTGACAGCTCCGATGCGCATTAAGCCATCCATTTCTTTAGCAAACTGTCTCCACTTGGGATTGAAAGAAAGAGAAAAGGTTAATTCTCTTTGTCTTTTGAAATGTTTTAGGGGAAAAAGTTTAAAAATTCTTCGGCATGGAAGTATGGTTTGACTCCATTCTTTAAAAAAAAAAACCCAACTTCTGATAGTTAGGTTAAAAGGAAGGGCATTGCTGCCTTGCTCACCTTAGCACAGCCCATGTTCTTGAAGAGAACAAGAGGCATTTTTGATCCAACTCCTGGCAGAGCTCACAGAGATGGAAAAGTGGCAGATTGTAGGAGACTACCCAACAATCTTGCCCATGCAAGGATAATAGCCATTCGTAGGCGAGAACAGCAGGCAGTAAGAGATGGTGATACAGCCCAGGACTGGCCCATGGCAAGAAGAGGATGTGGTGTTCTCACTGTCCCATTCTGAAAGGTTTTCACCCCTCCCCACAGGACCCTGCCCCATGCCAAAGGAAAGTGGGGTGATCAAGGCAGTGGTCGCGCACATGGGATGACCCATACGTACCGTTGGTGCCAGGTCATGGCAATGCGAACATCGGGGGGAATAGAAATTGACAAACCACAACTCTCCAGAAGAAACAGCAGCATCTACATTAAAGAGGAGGACAGCAATTAGGTTTTTGTTTTCACATCTTTTCCATTTCTAGAAAATTTTGATCACACATAATTGGACGACACCATTGGTCAACTTTTCTCCGTTTTCTGGGAGAACTCTGCTAAGTCTTGTGGGAGAAAAGGGTGTTTGCACACAAACGTATCCTGGAGATAGTATTTTGTTGTTGTTATTTACCGTATTTTTCGCTCCATAAGACGCACCAATTTTTTTGGAGAAGAAAACAGGAAAATATAGTCTGTTTTCTTCGCTCCATACGACGCACAGACTTTCCACCCCCCCTGTTTTGTGGGGAAAAAGTGAGTCTTATGGTGCGAAAAAACGGTAGTTGTTTAGTCGTGTCTGACTCTTCGTGACCCCATGGACCAGAGCACCCCAGGCCCTCCTGTCCTATGCAGTATTTTTCTTTGCAGCATCAGACTTTCCTTTCACTTCCAGGCATGTCCTCAGCTGAGCGTCCTTTCGTCTTTAGGGTTCTAAATTAAAGAGCAGTTAATCCATACACTGTACTTATTAGGGGTGAACAGCCCAACGCCAGATGGAACTAGTCCACAATCTCTACCAAAGTATCTCCTGATGTATTTTTGCTGGCAAGACAAGGCACTATGGTAGATTTATGGCTAGTTTTAGTTAAAACATTTCTAACCCTCCCTGTATCAGCAGATTGTAAAGCAGGGTACAATAAAAAAAGTTACCCTGAAGGAATATAAATCAAATAATGTAAATGATTTGGAATTATTTAAAACAACAATTGCTTATTGTTCTTGCTTTCTATTTCTTCCTTGAGACAAGATGACATCAAAGAATAATGAACCTTGCAAGTCACCTTCTCTGACAGCAGGCTGCATATTTTGCAGGAACCGTTAGGAACAAAGAGCCATCCCTTTGCCTTACTATCCGGTTTCTGACAATGAATCATTAAGTAATGGAATTAACCACCACAAGAAATGTTGCAGAGTACAGGCCCACAGCCTGTAACTCTCCAAATACTATTAGAATACAACTGTCGACATATCGGATGATTCAGAACAAGGAAACATTCCCGTATGGAGGCAGTACGTTACAAATGCTGGTGCCAAGAAACATCATTTTTGTGTCCTATGTGAGGTCATCCAGAGTGGCACCTAGCTCTTGTTGCGTTCCAGCAGGTTATTTGACTGTTGTGTGTGAAATCTCCATCTAAACCACTAGTTCTTAACCTTTGTTACTCAGTTGTTTTTGGACTGCAACTCCCAGAAGTCTTCACCATCAGCTCTGCTGGCTGAGGTTTCTGGGAGTTGCAGTTCAAAAACAGCTGAATAACCCAAGGTTAAGAACCACTGACACAATAGCAAGAATTGCCAACACCTTCCTGTTGGGAAGTTTCTTTCTCCATTCCACCCCTCAAGTCAGGCTCTGATGGCGACACGCGATGAGTAGAAAAAAGCAGGGGGGAAAACCCTGCACCATATAGAGAATGACTGCCATTGCAGCTCCTAGTCACCCAGCAACAGAGAACAGTTCTGCATTTGAGCTCCTAGGTATCATTACACCAGTGGGGACCTTGTGAGATCGTATTCTACATATACAGTAATTATTGCAGTCTACTGAACACATGCACATTTGCATCTTATATGCAATTTCAAATACATATCATTTTTGGAAGGGAAGGGCAAGAAGGGAAAGAGACTAGCATTGATTTATCACATCAGGTTTACAAAATTTGAAGGAATGGAAGTTAAAGTGCTGTGTCAAGACTGGGGAGATTAGCATTCAGATCCCCTTTCAAACCCTCTGATGCTCAACAGGTTCCTCACTCACTCTGCCCAGCCTACACGAAAGGGGTGTTGGAACAAGAATAACGACAACAAAAGGAAGTAAAGAAAAAACCCTGATGGGATACAAGTATTGTATATGATCTGATCTCTTTTGAAAAGGGGCAGGATAAAATTATCAATGAATGAATGAACAGTCAGCCCTGAATTCTGGAGCAGTGAATTGTTATTTTTGCACCAAGATGTTCTCAATGTGAGCATCATTATTTCTGTCAGATTAGAAGCAACAAACGACAACTGTAAAAATTGCAGGAAGTATTAGCACTATCAACTGTTCAAATGCCAGAATTCAGAGGACTGATACTGTATGCATTGGCAAGTTATTATCGTGCAAAGTAAACACATTAGATTCTGTAAATATCCAGGACAAACACAAAACGGAAATGCAAGAACACACCAGCACATATTATATGTGAAAGGTTTTAAAGTTCACTTTTACCTAAAAACAAAACAGTGTTGAATCATGATTCAGGACTAACACTGTAGAGTCAAACTTTTTTCTTAGCTAGGGGATCAAATTTAACAGAAGAAACCAAAGTATTTCAAGAAAAGCAACATGGAAATAACTCCTGTGCTTTATTTAGATGCATACCTCTTCACATGGGACATGATCAATCAGGCAAGGTTAAACTCTCCAGACTAGACAAAGACTCAAGACTGAAAAACGAAACTTCAGAAAAGCAGGATTTAACAAGGAATTGCCTTCTCGAACGAGAAACTTGCTCGCCATTGAGGTTGAAGTCATGACTGCCCTGAAATATGCAGTCCAATGATTCACAAGATACAAATAAGACACATTCTTTGACTGTTACTCTCATAGTCTTAGCCAGTGGTTCTTAACCTTGGGTTACTCAGGTGTTTTTGGACTGCAACTCCCAGAAGCCTTCACCACCAGCTGTGCTGGATGGGGTTTCTGGGAGCTGCAGTTCAAAAACACCTGAGTAACCCAAGGTTAAGAACCACTGGTCTTAACAACCATAGTTGGCATGTTGCAATCCCAGGAAAAGATAACGGAGCGCAACGCTACACTCTCAATAATGTAAGCAGAAGTGACAGGACACCATATGACTGCATTAACTTACCAAATTCTCTTCTGTCTAGGGTTATGATTTCAGGATCATCATCATAAATACCTAGCAAAGAAAACAGCTAATCAATATTTATTAACACACATGCCTGTATAGCATTTGAAAACATCACTTTCTACTTCACTGTGTATATACAGGGCAGAACACATTAACTCCCTCAAATTAATAGCCAATGGATATATATCAGAAATAAAAGGCTAGAGGGGGAATTCACTGTTAGTCTCAACTAATTAGACCCCCTGAATTAAGAGCTGACTTACATCTCATTTGTTTGTGCATGCTCCCTAGGACTAACAAGAAGATTTAGTTCTAGCACATTTGACAACAACACAACCCGAGCAGGAAAACCAATTCCACCCTTACTTACAGTATTTATATTTCTCCCTCAAAGAATTGAACAATGCATTACAATATGTATTTTAAAAACAATACAGCTAAAGAACACCCTTTTAAAAAAGTGGGTATTTTATTCTTTTTCTGTCTTAAAGCAGAGAGGCTTTAAGTGACCAGTTCATACAAACAGGACTGAATCTAAACTTGCCAAAGTTTCACTGGTCCCCCCCCCCCCAGGTTTGGGCAAATTACAGCTACATCAGTATCTACTCTTTCTCTTCAGCTGGTTTTTGTTTTAGTGACTGGTGAGAGGGTCTTAAAACAGGACTGTTGTTCTTGTTTTTAATGTGTTTTCAGTCTCTGCTTTTATTTATGAGTTTAATATACAGTGGTGCCCCGCTACACACTTACCCCGTTAAACGACAAAATCGCTTGACAATGCCTTTTTTGTGATCGCTATAGCGATCGCAAAATGATGTTTCCTATGTTTTTTTTTGTTTAACGACAATTAGGCCCCTGCTTCGCGAACCGATTGTTTGCAAGACGACGATTTAAAACAGCTGATCAGCGGTTCGCAAAATGGCTCCTCACTGTTTTCCGGACCTATTTCCGCAAGACAGGGATCGCAAAATGGCAGCCCTATGGAGGATCTTCGCTGCACGAGCAGGTATTTCCCCCACTGGAACGCATTAACCGGTTTTCAATGTATTCCAATGGGGTTTTTATTTTCACATGACAATAATTTCACTGTACAGCGATTTTAATGGAACGCATTATTGTCGTCATGTGGGGCACCATTTTTGTTTAATTCTTTTAAAATATTGTAATCATGTACTGTTTTTAGATTTTATACTGTTTAATTTTTAATACTGTAAGCCACCTTGGGTCCTTTTTTTAGGAGAAAGGCCGTCCAAGAATATCTTTAAACAAACAAACAAACAAAACACACACACAAACATACATACCCCTGAGCCTGTCAAGTTTAGGTTTCAAGTCTCATGCCTTATTTACTTAATCATTTTAAGCAAAATGAAGATAATGTCAACAGGAAAAAGAGAAAAGAAATTCAGGAAGAAGACAACTGTCTTAATTGGAGAACCTGAGAGGTTGGTTTGGATGCACCACATCGCTGCTTGGAGCCATTTTAGGCCTCCAAAATCAAAAGACCTCTGATGATATCCAATCAACATCAGGCAGTAGCTGCGATTACTGAAAACTACAGAACTCCCCACAGACATGCCTGATTGTTAAACTCACAGTAATTAATGCTTGCAGAACAATGGGAATGCATTTGGGAAGGCCATAGCAGTTTGATGGATAACAATTACTTAGCCTCTGAGTACACATGTTTTTTATCCAAAATGTTCCAGGTTCTGTTCCTAGCATCTCTGGGGGAAGATTCTTCTTCAAAACCCAAGAGAGATATTACCAGTCAGCGTAGAAAGGGGAAAGACAATTGTGGCTTTCCTGACATTTCATTTCATTTCATTTCATTTCATTTCATTTCATTTCATTTCATTTCATTTCATTTCATTTCATTTCATTTCATTTCATTTCATTTCATTTCATTTCATTTCATTTCATTTCATTCTAACTTACATGACGCCCACTCTACCCAAAGGTCTCTGGGCAGCTCACAACAATTAAGACACTTTAAAATACAATAAAAATATAAAACAATTAAAATACAATTAAAATAGATACTCTAAAAATTGCCATCAGGACCCTGTTTTTGGCCTGTAACTGTCATCAGTCTTAGCCAAACACCATCTGGAAGGCTGGAACTGCCCTCCCCTAGTTTAGGCAATATTGAATTAGATAATTCTATATCCAGCTCATGCTGGCTTGGATGGCTCAGTGGTTTAAGGTACAGATGATGACCCCGCTGTGCTAGACGATGACCCCGCTATACTACGAATCCGCAGGATGGTGACTTTTTTGCGATCGCTATAACGAGCGCAAAACAATGTTTCCTATGGGGAATTTTAACTTGACATTGATCAGGTCGTGCTTTGCGAACCATTTGTTGACAAGACGACGATGTTTTCCGGCTCCGCAAATTGATCAGGTCGTGCTTCGCGAACCATTTGTTCACAAGACGACGATGTTTTCCGGCTCCGCAAAATGTCTGCCCTGTGTTTTCCGGACCCATGCTTCACAGGGCAGCCATTTTAACAACTGATTAGCGCTCAGAAAATGGCTTCCCCTATGGGCGATCTTCACTGGACAACGAGGTAATTTCCCCATTGGAACACATTAAATGGGTTTCAGTGCATTCCAATGGGGAAACTGTTTTCACTGGACGATGTTTTCGCTTAACAGCGATTTCAGGGGAACAAATTATCGTCATGGTGTGGGGCACCACTGTATGTGGCTGCAGAGCCAGAGTTGGGAGTTCAATTCCCCACTGTGCCTCGTGCGAGCAGAGCTAGCTTGTGTAGCCCTTGCGCAGGCTGCATAGCCCCAGATTGTGCCCAGAAGAAGGGGATGGGACACCACTTCTTTGTATTGTCTACCTGGAAAACCCTGGAAAGGGTCACCCATATATCAAAATCAACTTGATGGTGCACAATAATCACCATAATTATTTCCATGTCGCTATGAGGCAGGTTCTTCAGTCCTGCTTTAACAAAGGTTCTGACAAGTCAGAGACAAAAATCCTTCAAGCTGGCTCATTCCTAGGGCCTACCAATTGGCTAGCCATACCTTCAACTGAGGACAGCAGCTGTGATTTTCTGCTCTGAAAAGTCTGAGAAGACACCATCCAAAGTGTTCCAGAAGCAACTTATTAAAAAGGAGGCATAATAACTAGTACAGTGGTGCTCTGCTTAACGATTACCCCGCTTGACGACAAATCCGCTTCACGACAATGTTTTTGTGATTGCTATTTTGATCGCAACACGATGTTTTAATGGGCAAAATCCGCTTTACGATGATCGGTTCCCTGCTTCAGGAACCGATTCTTCGCATTATGACGATCAAAAGAGCTGATCGTCGGGTTTTCAAAATGGCCACCGGCTGTTCAAAATGGCTCCCCGCTGTGTTCAGGATGAATTTTTCGCTGCACCGGCATCAGAAAATGGCCACCCTATTGAGGATCTTCGCTGGACGCTGAGGTATTTCGCCCATTGGAATGCATTGAACCAGTTTTCAATGCATTTCAATGGGCTTTTTTATTTCGCTTGACAAGGATTTCGCTCGAACGGATTATTCTCGTCAAGCGAGGCACCACTGTACTGAAATATTGACTACAAAGACAAATTCAATTAACATTATGGGAAAAAAGGATGTCCTATTTATTTATTTATTTGATTTTTATATCACCCATCTGGCCAACGGCCACTCTGGGCAATTTACAACAAACTACTGTTCCTACTATACTGAGTACTTAAGAAAATGAAGTCCACACATCATGTGCCAATACACACTGGTCACCGTCCAACACAGAGTTTAGCCCTCTTAAAGCCCCTTTGATTCTTTACTGACTGTGAAGTGACGGTATATGTGGCATGATCAGTCAGTACAGAGACTCCCGCAGCAGGGAACAGTCTATAACAATCCTGTTCTTCTCACAAGTATGCATCTTACCAAAATCATAGCGATAGTAGTTCCAACTTTCATATCGGCCACCTTCCTGGTGATCCTCCAGACCTTTTTCACCATATTTATCGTACTTTTTCCGTAGATCTTCATCTTTCAATACTTCATATGCCCGATTTATTTTCAAAAAGTTCTCGTGTGCATCTGGATCATTCTGTAAGAGAGAAACTCCTAGTGTTAACCAAATACTGATACATAAAAATACTGCCTCCTTGTAAATTTTAGTACTAAAAATGCTCTAAGACAGATTTTTGAATATACTGGCTACCCACCCATAGTTCTGCTCATGCTATGCATCCATATCAACAATCACTTATCAAATTGTTGTCTATCTGACTGCAAACACAAGGGAGTTGTCAAACACCTTGTCTGGTAGGTGTCACTTCTGGTAGGTGTCCATTACACCTCATGGATATTCTATTATACAATCTGAGCTATCTACTGTATATCATGAATAGAGATGGGGGTATTTGTATATGAATACCCCTGCACAGGTGGACATAATGAAGGTCCGCCCCGCCCCCCCGGGGCCAGAGTGCCCACTCACCTTCTGCTGCTGCTGTGGGCTCCGCGCTCCCTTCTTATCGCTCCAGAGCTTGCCATTGACTAGCCACTGCCACACAGGTGGACATAATGAAGGTCCGCCCCCCCGGGGCCAGACTGCCCACTCACCTTCTGCTGCTGCTGCGGGCTCCGCGCTCCCTTCTTATCGCTCCAGAGCTTGCCATTGACTAGCCACTCCTGGCAGGAGGCAGGATGACAAGCCTCACTGCCAGGTCAAAGAGTGGCTTGCCGACCAGGCACTCTGGAACAATAGGAAGGGAGTGTGGACCCCACAACAGCAGCAGACGGAACAATAGGGAGTGTGGACCCCACAACAGCAGCAGAAACAGCAGAGTGGATCCTCATTATGTCCACCTGTCCCATCTCTAATCATGAACCTCAATTACAGAAATGTCTCGGGGGGACACAGTAATTACTAACAACACTTTATATTTTGAAATAAAATCAATGGTACTTCTCCCCCAACAAACAATTGAACACTAAGTCTCTTATGCCATGATATTTAACAATTTTTTTCCTTTAGGAATTCAAAGAATTCAGACCCTGGCATAATTAAAAATTGTAAACCGCCCGGAGAGTGCTTGTAGCGCTATGGGGCAGTATACAAGTCCAATAAATAAATAAATAAATAAATTACAGAAATGTCTCGGGGGGACACACTAATTACCAACAACACTTTATATTTTGAAATAAAATCAATGGTACTTCTCCCCCAACAAACAATTGAACACTAAGTCTCTTATGCCATGATATTTAACAATTTTTTTCCTTTAGGAATTCAAAGAATTCAGACCCTGTGATGTTCTCATAAAGCAAAACTGAAGAACCAGAAAACATTCTGAGGACAAGAATACATACCTGATTCTTATCAGGATGCAGCTTTAATGCTAATTTCTTGAAAGCCTGTCTAATTTCTCTACTTGTAGCTTCTTTGGATATTCCTAGTAAACCATAGAAATCTTGATCAGGGCAAACTAAGGATAACAGACATAGTAAAACTAAAGACACTGAGGCAATCCTTCTGAAACTTCCGTTGCATTTTCTTTTGGGAAACAAGGGCTCCATGATGAAGACAAGTCATACAGATTTCAAGGGCACACTGGTGGGTTTCAAGAAGCTATCATTAAAATAACAGCATATATTTCAGTAGAGGCTTCTTGTAGGATTTTTGCTGTCATACTCCAAAGATTGTTAGTTTTACTTCTCTAGGAGACAACACCTAGAAGACAGAAAAAAGGGATTTTAGTTGCTCTTTACTATAAAGTAAATGCATAGTATTAAACACAAGTCTGTCATAACACCATTCTGTGCTGCCCAAAGGTCTTCTCCATCACTGATGGCCGCATGGGCTTGACTCTGCCTCTCAGGACACCTCTGTATTCCTCTGAATCCTGACAGAAACTCAACACTTTCCAATTCCCATGCTTGACCACAGAGTGCGAAAACTCACAACTGCTGTTGGACTAATGACTCCCATTAGCCCCTGCCAGCAAAACCCAAAGGTTGGGATGATGGAAACTAGTCATTATCTGCAAGTCTTCCCCTGATCTAATGCAACTGAACATGGGAATGAAATAAGTAACATATTCTTTCTCTGTTTACCTTCCTGTCATTTTCTTTGTGTCCATTTTCAAACTGTAAACTTCCCAGAGACATACCCTTCTCATGAAACAAGAACTCTCATTCAGAACCCTCAATAAATGCACATAATGGGGTTTCATTTCAGATTGGATCATGTTCCTCTTCCCCTGGCAGGAGGGTCTTCTCAGAACAGCCCCACCATTTTAATCCACCAGTGTAGTTCAGATAGAGAGTAATGCACCTTCCAACTCATTATTCATGTGTGATAAACCTTTTGTTTTAACCTACAGATATACATACTGATTGAAACAGACCAAATTTTTTCTCCAGGCATAGCAACACTGCATGGAGATCAAACACACACAAAATGGTTGCTCTGCTCTGTTAAATGTTTGTTGTCCTTTCATAGGGGTCATATTTTAGTCTTCCATCTCATCATTCTTCAGTTCGGAGTGGCTTGATTTTTAAATTGTTCAACAGGAGCAGAAATGCCTATCATTACAAAATAACATTTCACAAGAAAACAAGGAAAATTGAGAAGAAACAGAAGATGAACGCTTGGAGCTGTTTGGTAAAGTGTTCTGCATGCAGAAGGTCCCAGTTTAATTTCCAATATCTGAATGGGATTTCATAGCAGTTATATTACTGCCTTTTAGCCAGAAGTTCCACTGATACGTAGTCAGTATTGAGTTAGATGAACACACAATCTGATGCCGAGTTCAGAAAAGTTGCTTTGGGGGGCAGGGAGTGAATCCCGCAAACAACATGCCCAGTGGCTACAGTACAAGATGAAGGGTTGTTGTTGTTATTTCAAAAAGCGCTATCTTTCAAAAAACTTCTCAGAACTCTGATGTGATCTGGTTTGTGTAAGGCAGCTTTTCATGTTTTTTAAAACATGCTGCTTCCAGAGTTGGAAAAGCAGGGCAGGGACTGAAGGTGATGACATACGGCAGAAGACATATTTCAGAAGCATTTCAACTGTGTCAAATGATGGTCCCTGCCATAAACAATGGAGGTCCAATCCTACATGAGTGTGGCAAGTTGAATGGTGGCTGCAGGAAGTGATCAGCCAGATTTACATGGAATTTATTTTATGAGAAAAGAACAGGTCCTTCAGGTCCTTATGCCATTAAGAACTAGTCCTTCTCCATCCTCTCCCTTCCCCACCTCCTTTTTTTCACTCTGTGGGCAAAGACAGTTTTGTGCTTCTTGACCTCCAAGCCACTTCGGGAGCTAAAGAATGGGCCCTAAATATTGGAGAGAAAAAAAGAACTGATGAAAGGGCCATAGATATTGGAGGAAAAAGAAATTCTTACGAAGCATGATGGAATGAGAAATGGGGTTAAAAGTGGAGCCATGTAAAACCACCGAGAGGAAAACAGCCCCATCCTAAGCTATGACCTGCAGGCACAAGATTCTGTGAACTGGCTTAAGTGCAACTGATAAATGAAACTATATGCCATGGGAACTCTAACTTAATGTGGAAGATAGCTGGGATGCAAATAAAACAAAGGTTTGAAGGTCAAGAAAGGAGGAAGCTGGTGTCTCCCTGATATTTTGTACTACAAATCCCATACAAGTCAGGCAGCAGGGCCAAGGGCTATACTATAACAACGGTAATCTGAAGTACTGGAAGGGATCCGAGGGGTCCAACTAACTCAACAGGATGCAAAACGAAACCAGCAGGGTTCACACTCACAAACTGAGAGGAGTCCCGCGAGGAACCTGCCCTTTCCCGACAGCCAAGATCCGTGTCTAGACCCACGCAAAGAGGGTCTCCAAGTCCTGTACAAGGGGCCATCCAGGAAGCCAAAGGACATGCATATAGAGCAGCCGCGGTGGTGGTGGTGGGGAGAGGCACTTCTACAGGAAGGCTGACCTGAAAGATCCCTTCACACGTTCAGGGACCCTACACGAGTGAGAGACTCCCCCCCCCGCCTTAAGAAAACAAAACAAAACGGGACGCCACCCCTTTAAAGCCCATCAGGCGCCGAAACGGAAACCGACAGGAGGCTCTCGATAAAGGAAAGCAGGCGAGCGAGGAAGGCGGGAAGCCTCTCCGGGAGCCCCCCCCCCCAAGCGGAAGGGCCAGCGCCGGCGAGAGTGTGTGTGTGTGTGAGTATTTGGGGTGGAGGCATTTCCAGGGGAGAACAGAGACCCGCCGCGGGATCTGCCCGGGCCCCGACGACGGAGGGAGAGAGGGGTAGGGCAGCTCTCCGACATGCCGCCCGGGGCTCGTCCCCCTGCAGTGGTGGGGTGGCCGCCGAGCCGCGGCGCCTAACGAGCGCTCGGCGCTGCCTCTCGCGGAGCGGGTGGGGTGGCGGGTCGGCTCCCAAGCCCGGATGACGAGGAGGAGGAGGAAGAGGAAGGCCGAGCGGGGCGAGAAGTCAGTGGCGGGGAAAAGGCACCCGCACGGCTCCGCCGAGGTCTCCTCAGGCCGCAGGAGCGGCGAGTTGAGAGCCTTACCCGGCGGCTTGCCTTGCCTTGGCTGGGCGGGAGTCCTTCCCGAAA